TCATACTGGGAACACATCATCACTCATACTGGGAACACATCATCACTTACACTGGGAACACATCATCACTTACACTGGGAACAGCTCAGGAGACGTCTTTAAATATATTAACTGCAAAGACACATTATTATTATTTAGTCAAGAAATAAAAACTTTAAGTAACATGAATCACACACGCACATTTCCTGTTCCTGTTTTGTTTGTCTTAACCTAATAACGCAGCTGTTTTCATTGCATGACGTCATCAAACGACGTCAGTGTGCACGTTCTGACTCGTCCTTATTTCTACTAACGGGCTGGACAGACGGCTGTTAGTACAGACCAAAACCTTTCTCATTATTATTTGGCTACACAGTCTTGTGAAGTGGATGTTTGTGTAATGGTTGTAAACTTTATCATCTTAGTATAAAGTGTAGAGCTGGGCGTTGGTGTTAAAATATTCAAGGCCTGGCTGAAATGGAACAGGGTCGTGTCCTTTGTGTTTCCAGACTCTGGCACCTGCAAGAGTCACCAAATTAAAACCAGTTGTGTAGTGTCACGATGCCTGTTTCTGCCACTGGAGTTTATTTTGAAAGAGTATAAAGTGGAAACTGTGGACGCGGTGAGCTCAGCTTTACTGCCAGACTGCGTTCCTGCCCCCTCCACACTGAAAACTAAATCAAGTTTAAAGGGGGCGGAGTTAAGAAAAATAAAATGATCACCAGAGAATTCAAAAAGTGTTTTTGTTTAAAATGCTCATCTCTAATAAATCGACACTTGAAGGAATTCCATTTGGAGAAACGCAACATCATTTTCACCAGACTGATGAGCTAAAGGCTAGTCAGAGCGAGACCAAACCTGAGGACTCCTGTTTAACTTAAAACTGTTATAGTTTCATTAACTACTGAAACGATCTAACACCATCTATAAACCTTTTAAATCACCGTCGGGTGCACGTTCCATAGCAGAGACTTTCTGACATCCCTGCAGGAAGTACCCAAGGCTGCACAGGAAGTGCTACAACTAGCTAGCACATTATTTGTTGTTTTGGTAAATAATGCTGTTATGTGAAATTAACAGTTATGTAAATGTAATACAGCATCTGTATGACCTGTAAAACAACCCACTTCTGTTTGGCTCCACGAAGACTAGCCATTAGCTCATCAGTCCACTCCAAATTAAACCACTGGTCGTCTGAGCTTGTTCATGGAGCTATCTACAACAGGGAAGATATTCATTGTTCCTAAAGTTTCCCAAGAACCCAGTGACCATCAATTGATTTGGTTTTTCTTACTCACATGTTGTCAAATGTTCTACATAAAACAAAATGTTTATTTTTGTTAAAAGATTATGATGATGATGTTTTTACCTAATCTCCCAAGTATCTGGATCATCATTTAAATCTGCATCTTCAAAGTGTGGAATAAAAATAATCTTTAGGTTTTTAAGTTTTCCAATCAATCTCCTCTTGGCTAGCAAGGCATCATGGGAAAATGATGTACTGAAAACCAAAAAATAAAAATAAAGCTTGTGAACCTAAAATCGGGGCTTAAAGAGTGGATGTAAACATTTGTGTTGCTGCAGCTTTAGCAGTGGAATAAACCGGATCACCCTGAGCAGCTCCCATCACGTTCATTTGGAAACAGCTAAGGAGTTTTCAGTGTCTTACATCACTTTCTGTCAGACTGGAATATATTACACACCTAAAGGTGAGCTGATTTCAGCGGCTCAGTCCAAATATTTCAGAATGAAGCTGCGTCGGTGCTGCAGGACGCTCACAGATCTATTCAGTTTTTGTGTCCAGGTCGACTTTTTGAGCACCACTCAGTATCTGGATACAGACGGCAGTGGACTGACTTAAACCTGAAAACAAGAAGAGACAAAACTTAAAGGTCTGGAATCAGTTTCACAAACTGCTGCAACACATTCACTTCCTGTCTTGATAAGGGTCCCATTTCATCCGGTGTTGTTTTGATTCAAGTTGGGTTATACGTTTTAACCACAAGGGCTCAAACACTTCAAACACATTTACACTTTAACACAATCACATTAAAATTGTTCTATGTATAAACAACATTTCATAGACAGTTTTAGAAAGACTTGATAATGTGTCAACATACACCCCACACAGTAATGTGCGAGGGAAACGAGCTGATGTCCTCCGACGCTCAGAATCTTTGTTGTCCTTGAGATGAGTGGTTTTCTGGACTGGGTTTTGACCCGGCAACCCCATTTTTTAATGAAACCTTCCTTTCTCTGACATGTCACACAACAAAATGGAACGGGGGACAAAACAAGTGAACCATGCAGGTTTGACCGAGTGCACAGCACTCATGTTATGACCAAATGGAGTTTTGTCACTTCCTGTGTATGTGACGTGACATAAAAGTGTCATCTCTAACCCAGACCCGACCCAAATTTGGGCAGGGCCGGAATAATGTGCAGGATGGGCGGGTCGATGTCAGGCTTTTGATTGCATCAGCGGATGTGGCTGACAATCCAATTATATGGCAACATGGCTTGCCATACAATCACTAGCCATACGCGACCATTTCACCGCGAACTGACCGACCTTGAAACGGGTCAAATAAAGTTTGGTTAAGCTTGAGATGGGACTACTGGTACTGCCAGGCAGTGATCCATCGCCCAAATGGACGTTCAGCCGCTGCACTCCGCAGACGCTGCAGTCGACGACCCAAACAGGCGAGATCACAAAGCAGACATGTCAGAGCATGGTCCATGTCTGAATGATGCAGAATGCAGCAGAAGCAGGGATTTAATGCTCTTTGACGGCCATGGAAGGACAAACACCCCCTCAGCTCTGATCTTCTGCTCCTTTTATTCAGCCGCACGCGTCCACCAACCGTTAATAACTATATAAAAGGGGGGGGGGGGTTTCAGGTTTGGACCTGTAATTACTGGAGATGCATCAATCCGATACCAATCTCGGTACCGATGTATAAAGAACCCTTGTGGGTCGGGTATGGTGACAATGTGACCAGTCCACGTCTGGGCAGATGTACTCACTCTAACTCTGCTTCATGCTCTGAGAGACGTCACGTGCCAGCGTACTGACTGAACAAATGACAGTTGTGTTGTTTTACATGTCTGACCGAGCTGTGAAGCTCTCCGTGTGTTTAATGTGCTGTTATGATGCAGACTTTTCAATACATGTGGAATTCAGTACATTCATGTCAGCGTTTAACAGAACAAATGCTTTAAGTTTATGCAGCACTGGCTTTGTAAACTCAAACATGCAGGTAGACAAAAATGGCTAAATCATGTCATCTGGACCCGTTTCAGAAACAGATCACATGATTTAGACATTTTTGTTAATGCAGCAGTGTTTTTTCAGATCGGATCGGGCGATGTCAAAACGCTGATATCGGTATCGGATCGGAAGTGATAAAAGTGGATCGGTGCATCCCTAGTAATTACTGTTAATTCGTCGAGTGGGGTTCGGAAATGATGGCTACGGGCTGGGGCCGGACCGGGTTGGACTTTTGGGCCCAAATGCATCTCTAATGTGACGTGAGGATACATTACAGACCGGATGCAAAGAGATCCACTGCAAGCATCCAGAATTTCAAAATTTAATATTAAACACAAAGTTAATGGCAAAACAACTTGTTTACTTTATCAAATCTAGTTTTCAGTAGCTTTGATTGACTAGAAACATCTGAAAAAGTAATGGATTGCATTTACATAGCTCCTTTCTATCTTATCAAGATATTCAAAGCTCTTTACAACAATCTGTGCCTCATTTACCATTCACACAGCTCTATACTAGATCTCTACAGAGAATAATCAGAGCTTTATCACATTCATACACTGATGGGACACACATCAGAGGCTATGAGGGGTTCAGTGTCTTGCCCAGGGACACTCCAGCATGTGACTGCTGGTGGATTCGAACCCCCAACTCTTGCATTGGAGGACGACTGCTCTAACCACTCAGTGACAACATGAACAAAGAGTTACATCTGAACAATGAGGAAAGTAATGTTAGCTTACCACTTCAGCTAACACTCACATGGAAACAGCAAGAGAAGAGAGAAATGAGTTTATTAAAGAATGACATATTTTGTTATAAAATAAAGATACTGAGCAGCCAACACTGTGCAGCGAGACGTTTGGTGAGAATAATATAAAGCTTGTCATTAGAACAGCAGAGAGGAAGTGTAGAAATGAACAAAAGTAGTTGTTTCTTTAATAAACTAAATGGGCAGAGCTTGGCTGTCCACAACCCTCAAGCCGTTTACTGGCTTTTCTTCCTCGGACCACTGCAGACCAGTAACGTCTGACAGGAGCTGCAGCTGTCTCCACATCTGCAGCTCCTGTCAGACACAGCAAGTGAAAATGACACAAATGTATGTTTTTCAAAAGCTCAGTGCACACCTCAGTGAGTGTGTGGAGAACTATGAAGGCCACGAGTGTTCTTTTTTACCTTGTGGGGTCTTCAGCCAGTGAAAAGCTTTTACCGATGCCGACCACGTTCCCTCTGTTCTCAAAGCCTCCATAACTGAGAGTCACCTTTTCAAAAACGACCACATAACACAGTTAAAACTAAATATGTTTAATAAGTGTGGCAAATGTGTTTTACTGTAAGGGGTTACAAACCAACACTACAACCACTCCCACAGAATAAAACATTTGAATGCAGCCACAGGCAGACTTCCTAACCTGATCAAGCAAAGTGTCGGCGGGTAGCTTCTGGAGGCTCTCCAGGTGAGAGTGGAACAAGCTGGTGTGAGTCAGCTTGACCTCCAGCAGGGCCTCGATGATGTAGCCGATGGTGCAGTCGTCAGGGAGGCGGATCTTTTCTGCCGTGCTGATGAAGTTCCCCAAACTGAAACAAGCAAACGCAGTTTAAACCAACAGCTCCTAGTTTTCATTACATATACTAACAGATTGTCCAAGCAAGCATGATTTATAGATCTGCTCACATGTCTGCACTCTTTTTGTACAGGCAGCAGCACAGCTCATTAATCCTCGTTATCTGTTTTTGTCCTGAAACCTAATTACCAACATTTCCAGAAAGCAGTAAATATCAACCTTTATTCACAGTCTTTGGGCCAGAGCAATTACTTACATAACCTTAGACTGTTTTTATTTAAACGCTGGACAAAACCTCTTAATTGTGGGCAAACTGTGCCAGTGCAGCGATGCCGTTTGGTTGGCAGCACAGTTTGAAGCGCACATCTCCCATACGTGAATCTGTGTTGCTCAATTTTAGCACAAAGCCACATAAGTTTTTAATAAATGCTTGGAGAATTGTTACGTTACATGTTGAGCATTAAGGAGAAAACTCTCATGCTACAAAGTGAACGTCTAACTTGTAAAGGTATTAAAAAATGTTTGAGCTTCTGACAGATTGTAGGAATTTACTCCGTGGCAAGTCCTGCTGTGACTTGTGGTCAACTTAGTTCCCAAATGAGGATTTCTGTTGATTGAGAATAATTTCAGTGTTGTTATTTCTTTATATTGTTTCAGGTGGTAAAACAGTGTGATTTAAGTTACAAACATGTCATCAACATACCTGGCCCAAGGGCTCATTTTCAGAGCCAGGCCTCGGCTAATACAGAAACCTGCTCCTCCTGTGGCAAACCAGAACTTGACGGAAACCTGAAACAAGAACAGGCCGACCAATCAGCTGGCTGTAACGGATGGAAAATGTACGACTCAAACCATCTTTGAACACACTGCAGATTTGTGATCGCACATTTGAAATCTTGGTTTAAAGCATTAAATAAAAATGCAAATGAAACAGATCATAAACAAACAAACTGTCGTGTAAAACTGTGGTTTAAAATGAGCTGATGTAGCACTTTTCACATTAGTATCTTTCTCTAAATCTGAAAACTGGTTGAAAACTGGCCCGTACTGGGCTAGCTGATAGCCTAGCCTAGACACAAACATCTTTCTCCAGACTTCATGCTCTGTGACTGATGTCACGGCTCATAAGTAGTTAATCAGACAACACAACACTTCAAAGTTGACTGGACTTTCTCTTCAGGCATGTGATGATGTCACACTAACTTTTGATCTGAGTAAATAATCAATCATTTTACCACAGATTATAACCAGGGGATGTCTCCATGTTTATATGGACTTCTCAGAGTCAGACTTTCTTTATTGTCGCTCCACCTCATGTGGTACATGTGGTGGAGCGACAATATGTACACAGGGTCCCAGTTACAACAATAAAATGTAAAAGAAAAACAGTAATAACGTCCAAGATATGAACTAAGAAAAACATCAACTAAGAAGCACTAACAGCATAAAAACATTACGTCGAACAGCAGCACAAACATGAGTCTGTGTGAGAAGATGAGCACACATGAACACATCAACATGAAACAGATCAGCAGCAACATGAAACAGATCAGCAGCAACATGAGGTGATTCTTCAAAGTGATTATTCTAGTTAGAGATTCATGAGTCTAACAGCCTCAGGGTAGAAGCTGTTCCTCAGTCTAGTGGTTCTACACTTAATGCTCCTCAACCTCCTTCTTGAGGGGAGTGGGACAAAAAGTGTGTGTGCTGGGTGAGTGGGGTCCTTCATGATGCAGGTGGCCCTCTTCCTGCATCTGGAGGTGTAGATGTCTGTGATGGTGGGGCGGCTGACTCCAACATCTTCTGTGCAGCCTTCACCACTCTCTGCAAAGCTTTTCTTTCTGCAGCTGTGCAGCCTCCATGCCACACATTGATGCTCGAGCACAGGATGCTCTCCACTGCACACCTGGAGAAGGAGGTGAGGACTGAGCTTCCAGACCAGCTCGTCTCAGCCGTCTGAGGAAGTAGAGTCTCTGATGAGCTTTCTTCATCAGGCTGGTGGTGTTGTTGCTCCAGCTGAGGTTGTTGTTCAGGAGCACACCCAAGTACTTGTAGCTGGAGACCACTTCCACCGCAGATCCTCTCATATTCAGGGGGGTGTAGGTGTGTTTGTTTCTTCTGAAGTCCACAATCATCTCCTTTGTCTTCTTCACATTGATGTGAAGGTTGTTCTTCCTGCACCAGCTCTCCAGGTGTTCCACCTCCTGCCTGTAGCTGGACTCATCATTGTTTATGATGCATCCCACCACCGCTGTATCATCTGCAAACTTTACAATGTGACAGCCTGGATGGGTAGCTGTGAGGCTGACGTTGCACGTTCGTGGTGAGACGTATTGTGTCACTTCCTGTTTGTCTGTCGGTAGCTCGAGTGAATTGTTTGCTTGAGTCGTCTCTGTTTTCTGGATTTATCTATCTTTTGCACATATCCTGATGCATGCTCAATAATCCAGGTAGAAAAATCCAAAAAAGTTCAATCTGGTCCTCTGGACATTCAAAAAAACAAAAAACAAAACAAAGCAAAAAATTATATAGAAACGTTTCGTCTCTCATCCAAGAGACTTCTTCAGTCTGAGGTGCTGTATTCAGCTCAGTCTCTTAAATAGCACCTTCACAGAGTGGATCAACCAGTTTGCTGCTGACAACCAAAACCAGCTGATCACATGCTCAAGAAGGACCATCAGCCTAACAATGGATCATTAGCACCTGATGGCTGTTTACTGTTCACAGAGGGCTGAGTGATACTAGCAATCACAGCATTGTAAGAGGGGGACAGTTGAACACGGAGGCCTCCACCCCTGTTTAACGATGATGATTTAGTGTTTTTTGTTTTTTTGAATGTCCAGAGGACCAGATTGAACTTTTTTGGGTATCTTTTGCACAGTTTTTCATTCTAGTTCACAAACACACTTAGTACAGTTGTTTTTCTACTGTTGGATCATGCTTAAAACACCTCTTATCTTTCAACACTTCTCGGTTTTTATTGGTGTATTTGGCTCTGCTAGCTCTTGGTAGCGTTAGCTTAGCATGGCTGCTGCTTCTCTCCCTGCTTCCTCTGTTTTCTCTTGCTCCATGTGTCAGATGTTTAGTTACTCCTCTGCCTCCTTTAGTGGTAATGATACATGCAACAAATGTAGTCTTATGGTAGCTTTGGAGGAGAGGCTGTCTGAACTGGAAGCTTGGCTCCGCGCTGTAGAAAAACCAGTAGCTAGCCAGGTCCCGTTAGACAGGGCAGAACCACAGAGGCTAGCTCTTAGCGGTCCTCCAGCAGACCCCGAGCAGCCGGGACACCAGGCCGGCTGGGTGACGGTCCGGCGCAAGCGTAGTGCTAAGGCTAAGCCCCCAGTTCACCACCGACCCGTTCACATTTCTAATCGATTTACCTCGTTCAGTGACACACCTGCTGAGACGCAGACTCTGGTTATTGGAAGCTCCATAGTCCGAAACGTGGCTTTAGGGACATCAGCAGCCATACTTAAATGCATTCCGGGGGCCAGAGCGGGCGACATAGAATCTAATCTGAAACTGCTGACTAAGGCTAAGGCTAAGTAAACAGGAGAGGGCTCAACACACATCCCTGAGGAGAGCCAGTGCTAAGAAGTCTAGTACCCAGTTGCAAATGGAGGGACTTGGTCCTAGTGTGGATAGTTTGTCCATCAGGGTTTGGGGGATCATGGTGTTGAAGGCAGACGTGAAGTCCACAAAGAGCATACGGACGTAAGAGTTTTTCTGCTCCAGGTGGTTGAGCGCAGTGTGGACCACAGAGGAGATGGCATCCTCTGTTGATCGGTTCTCAGGGTATGCATACTGATGAGGGTCCTCGTTGATGTTGATGGTTGTTTTGATGTGAGTCATGACCAGTTTTTCGAAGCATTTAGCGACTATCGGGGTGAGGGCCACTGGCCGATAGTCATTCAGACCAGTCACTGTAGAGCTTTTTGGGACTGGGATGATGGTGGCAGTCTTCAGGCAGGTGGGAACTGTCTCCAGGGTAAGTGAGGTGTTAAAGATGTCTGCCAGCACCTCGCAGAGCTGATCAGCACATTCCTTCAACACTTTTCCAGGGATGTTGTCTGGGCCAGTTGCCTTGTGAGGATTAATCCTCCTGAAAGTACTCCTTACTTCTGCTGAGGTCACGCTGAGATGCTCTTCATCTGGTGGTGAGGTGAGTCTGGTGCTGTGTGGTCTGTTCGGGTCTTCAAAGCGTGCATAGAACTTGTTGAGGGCATCAGGCAGAGATGGGTCTTTGGGGCATTGTTCACTCCTTCCTTTATAATCTGTTATGCACTTAATGTCCCTCCACATGCTCCGAGGGTCTTGTGAGATGAATTGACCCTCGATCCTCTGTGCATATGTGGTCTTGGCCTTCTTAATACCAGCAACCAGTTCTTTCCTTGTCCTACTCAGCTCCTCTGCACTTCCAGACCTGAAGGCAGTGTTCCTGGCTTCCAGCAGGGTGCGCACACCTCTGCATTCAGCCAAGGTTTTCTGTTCAGGTAACGTATAACATATCTTATGGTGGAGACGGTGTCAGTACATGTACCAATGTAACCCAGAACTGAGGATGTGTATTGGTCCAGATCATGCAATCAAAATGCAGCAAGAAGAAACACCAGTCAGACCAGTTGTCAGCAGCATAAACTCTGTGACTTACAATATTAAAAAACATCTAGCTGCTGTTGTAGCTCCTCTTGTTGGAATCACACATCACATATTTCAAACTGGCTCCAGGAGAAACTTATTTTTTCTTTTAATTTGGGCTGTAAATTATAGAGCTTTTGTGAGATGAAATTTTTTGTAACTTATTGAAAATGTTCACATCTAAATACTTTCTGAAGATTAATGTGGGCCACAAAACCAAAACACATTATTACATTTAGTTTGGCTTTAAGTGGAAAAGGAAACTATTAATAATATAGAAGATGACTAACTGAGCCGTCACTCTTGACCCTCTCTGCAGCCTCTATGGGGTGGTTCAGACTGGGCCGGCCCAGGTAGATGTCTTGGCTGTGATGGTAGGAAGAAAGTAGATCCAGCAGACTGGGCAGGATCACATAGTTGTCATCATCCACGTGGCAGAACCACCTACACACAAATGAACTGAGGTAAACAAATGAACGGTGCGGCCGCTTGTAGAGGTCATCAGCAACACTTGGTCACTTGTTGCATCTTTGCTGCTGCAGATGAGGAACATTTGACTCACTTCTTCTGGGACTCGATGAATTTGTCATATTCAACAGACATCTTGCAGCACAGAGCCTGTCGGTTGTGAGCTGCCGAGCAGTTAGTGTTGATGATATGAGCTCCTGTAAGAGAAATCAGACAACAGCACAGTTTAAGAACAGCTGAGGTGAGCAGAACCTTGTTTATTGTTGGGTTGATTTGTGGTTAGCAGCTAACTCAAATACATGGTGTTACAAAAGTATTCACCTCTGCAGCATTTTCTGTTTTGATGCCACAACCAGGAATTAAGAGATTGTAAGGGGAGTTGTATCTTGCAGTTTTAAACAAAAAAATACCACTTTCAATTAATACATTTTTTATTGTGGGGAAAAAAAGAGCATGCATAATTATTCACCCCTTGAAGTCAATACTTTGTGTCATCCTCCTTTGCAGCAGTTACATTCAGGTTTCCACTGCCTCCAGAACATACAACACAGCTGGTCCCACCACGATCTTTAAACCTTTCTTTTGACATTTGCTGACACCTTTCTGTCACAAATCACTCCTGAAACTTTTCTCCATCCACTCCGTCTTGCCTGGACTCTATTCGATACCTTTCACAACTCCCTGTTTTCCCAGGCTGTCGACTCTAAGTACAGGTCCTTCTCAAAAAATGAGCATATTGTGATAAAGGTCATTATTTTCCATAATGTAATGATAAAAAT